AAAAACAGGTAACTAACTAATTACCTTTTCTAGTCCCTTAGATGCTTGGTTCAAAAGGAGAGTGATATATATATATATATATATATATATATATATATATATATATATGTGTGTGTGTTATATCATACATATTTAAATGTAATTTAATTGTATTGTGAAGACTAAAAACAAGCAAAAACAAATAGAAAAAAGATAAATAGGGTAACATACAACAATATATATGTTACAGATTTTCAAATAAATAGGAATATCTAATTAACAATGGTTGTTATATTATCTATTTTTATCATCACATCTGTTGTTCAGATTAACAGATTTAATTATGCAAGATTGGGGAAATAACTTTCCACTTGCTTTCAAGAAATCTTAATTTTTTCCTTGTCACTTTGAACTATATATTTAATTGTAAGTTTCTATAAACTGTTAAATGTGAGAACACCAATTTGCAATTTTTGAGTTATGTCTTCCGAATCAAAATCATACCTAACCATGTGAATAATTTTAAATGTATGTTTAAAAGTCATTGAATGAATGCGAATAATGTAAACCTGTATGTTTAAAAGTTATTGAATGAATCACTTGACACCAAGGAGAGCAAAAAAATGTACAATAACTTTAAGCAGTACGGTAAATGTATTTTGAGGGATTATTTCCATTTGAAAAGTCATTTTAGACTTAATGATATAGAATAGGTTTGCATTTTAGAGATGGACGTTTGAAATCATCAAGACCATTAGTTTTCAACTTTTTATATTAGAGTCACTGGATTTTAAAAATATGTATCTTTAATTCTCATCCCTGATTTTTATTCGGTTAGCCTGATAGGGGCTGGGAGAATGGTTCAACATATACATAGTTTTAAAATTTCTCCAGCAAGCAAAGCTGAAACCCACAACAGTAAGACACCCTTGACATTTTTAGTATGAAGTCCCTGAAAGTAGCTTGCCTAAGGTGAATACAGCTTATCAGCCAGTCTAGATCTGTCTTTGCCAAACAAACCGACACCATTTGTATTTTACTTATACAGTGGTTGGGACCCAATTACCAATCTATAGTAGTTGGTTAGAAAGATCAAGACCGTCTATACCCAGTTCAAATCCAGTGTCATCCTCCTAACAAGCAGTATGTTTTTCTTGCAAATTACTAAATAGGTATTCAATGGTTATGAAGATATTATAATGATTAATATACCTGTTAATTGCACATTTTTTAAACTTCCTTTACTTGAAATGTTTACATTCATATAATATATCATTTATATTTCAAGGAAAAGAAAGGAGACAATATTTTAAATCTAAGTCCAATTTAAGTCTTCATAATTGATTTTACATAGCTGCAGGCATGTAAATTATTTTTTGCCAACTTCCTCATAAAATTTTAGCCTTTAGGTTAGCTTCTTTACTGAATTCTGAAAATTCCATGCAGGTAAAGCCCTTTTGCCCAACTTCATTCACTGTCTCCTAAAATTTGTTCCTCTTAGAGAAAACACTCAACAATTAATTGCTGAATGAAAAGTCATTTATTACTTTTTATTAAGAAATGAGGGGCTGGGGAGATGGTTTAGTGGGATAAGGGCTTCCCTGGCAAGCACAAGGGCCTGAGTTCAATCCCCGGTTTGGCAAAAAAAAAAAAAAAAAAAAAAAGAAAAAAGAAAACAAATAAGACAGACTGCCTTGAACCAACTTGTATAGGACAATTCCACATAAATAAAAGTATTGCAGACACAGTTTTATAATGTGGTTGTCTCACGGCTATTTTTCACAGGGGCTTTGGCTTGAATTTTGTGACTATAAACAGTCTGATTAAAGGATATAACAAATGTTTCTATTTTTTACACTGGATGCATTCATTAATAAGAATTACTAGTGTATCAAATAAGTGAGCAACTTTCTAGCCTGATTTTCACAGAGACCAAAATCTACATGACAGAGTGTTTAGAAGTTATTCACACATGTTAGTCTACCATCTCAAATTACAAGTTATTGCCACATTGTAATGGAATATTATCCTCATCAGAGATACTGTATGACAGTGACAATGTTGATAAACCAAGGGCTGGCCCTGAAGACTCTTGAACTTTCTTCTTTATTTGCAGGCTACATGTACTTCCCACAGAAGGAAGTGACACCTGATTAGTAATCTAGCTAAATGAGTGACATGGAAGCCAATCTGTCCCCCTTGCAGGTTATGCAGTCACCCATCTGAGCACATATACTACAATCTAACCAAACCATTCAGAAATTTTTGAACCTTTTTTTAAACCATGTGATCTCTCACTCCTGAGTTTATACTCAGTAAGTTTAATTAACTAAAATACCTCTTCTTCCTTACCTATCTTAGGACATTCTGTTTACCTTACAAAACTCATTTCAATACTCAAGGTACAGTTTGTTCTTTCTACACTTTTTGGGTTATAGTTAAACTCCGATTGATATATTAAAAGTTTATTTAGTATGGCTTTTGCATATGGTTGAAGGCATTACCAACATGCAGTTAACATTGATGAAATATATGTCATACAAAGTTTTCTTGTGTTTTGGGAAACGTAACTCTCAGCAGGTGGCCCGGGTCCTTGCTTCAATGATAATGGAAATTAAACAAAGGTGACAGCACAGATTTATATACAAAAGCTTTAGTTGTAAAATAAGATAAAGATGGAGAAGACTGGCTTGAGAATCTGAAGGGAGCACGGTTCTGTCAAAGAAAATCAATCTTGGCTGTTGATAAATCAAAAGGAACAATTAATACTTATTTTTTCTTCTTAATTTTTTGACCAATTTTGCATGCTTATGTGTGGTAAGACAACAATATGCAGTGTAACACAATTGTTGAATTTCTTTCCTTTTGTTTAGTGAAATTTGGTATCATTTCTAAATTTTTTCCTTTTAAATATTTTAAAGACTAGGAAAAGTGGGCTAGGGAAATAGGTCAGCACAATAAGCACTTGCCTGGCAAGCGCAAGGTCCTCAGTTCAATCCCCAGTGCCGCAAAATAAATAAATAAATAAATAAATACATACATACATACATACATACATACATACATAAATAAACAAAGACAGACTAGGAAAAGCAAGAAAACAAAAAGAGACGATTTTAATAGGATGCTGTGTTGGACTAGGGTCTAGTTCATCATTTGCTCAGTTCTTATGTCACCACTCTGAGAAATCCTTAGGGCTTGAGGGGTAAATCAGTGTCCAGGCACAACTCCTCCTGCTTGGAGGAAGGCGTTAATCTCAGGCTTATGGAGGGATTACTAGAATCCAAGATGACCATAGGTTTAATGCAATGACTTGAGATTTATAGGTACCTATTCTAGAAGGCCTGGAGCAAAATGTCATAAGCTCTGGTAGCTGAATGTCTATGCATGTTTTTTTTGTTTTTTTGTTTTTTTTTTTTTTTTTTTTTATCTTGATGTCCTAGTTGCTAAGTGGGGTGAGGTAGGTTAGATAAATTTAGGACTAACAAATTTTGTATTAACACTTTTTAGACAGGCATTCATTTAGTGATTAACCTGCCTATTTGCAGAGCTCAGTAGGGGTATGATCTAAAATTTTAAGGTAATAAAGGGGACAGATACAAAATGAAGACAGAGATGTAAACTTTTACTCAGTCTTTACTCACTCAGTGCACATCTATAGACCCAAGTGAAGGTTTGTTTTGCTTTTGTTTTTGTTTTAGCAAAAGTTGTGGTAAGTCTCTGCTTCCTCTACCTCAGAGAGAAAACAAATCATGTTTTTAATTAGTAACAGATTAAAAGCCCACAAGCTTATTTGTTCTCTGTACCTCTACAATGATCCCCAGTAGTTTTACTTCCTCATTAAGTTTATTCTTGGAGACACTATTCCAAAGCCATGCTTGCTGTAGTAATCTATCTGGTTATTCAGCTTGATAGGATTGTTTGGAAGAGTGATAGGGTAGGGAAGCATACATATTATACATTCAATGGGTAAACAGGTCTTGAGTTAGGGCCCAGTAGTGGCCTCTAACTATCATATAACCATTATTATTATCTCACAAGATAAAGAATATAGCAGGGGTTGCACTGTATTGTGAAAGGCAGTAATCTAATTACAAAAGATGATCCAATCAATGGCTCTTTAGGGCTACATTCATTTCAATTTCAGCTTTTCAAGCCCAACATTTGGTTCCCTCTTTTCACTCAACCATACACCCAGGTCCTGTATATTTGTCTTTAAGGCTATTTGCCCTTTACACTAAGAAAAAAATACATTTTTGATTTTTTTAATTTAACTAATGAAGAAAAAAAAGAAAACAAAATATTGCTGAAATCAGCTGAAATGATGTACGTTTAAATGTGGTAGAAATGATTCACTAGCCAAAATTTCAGTGTTAAAAATCAAAGCCGGAAAAATGAGCCATGGTAGAAATATTCACACCAAATAATGAATATTTAATCTCAGCTATATAACCGAAATGAGCTAGAGCATGTGAAAGGTTCATCTTAGATGTAACATTAATTTTAAAGTGAAAGCTAATGGAGAAGCTGAGCTGTAGATGGGCTATGATACTAAAAGATTTTTTCTAATTCAGAGCCAGGTTTGTAGGAAAGGCTCAGTAAGATGTTTTAATGAATGAAAGAATGAACAAATAAGTGAATAATTCTCTTCACTGATAAGCAATGTAGTACTGCAATTTGAAGAATTAGCTGTAAGACAATCTATTCAAATCCACAGATTAATAAGCTACATTTCAGGGAAATCAATACTAAAATACAGTATAGTGTTTATGTTTGGTGCTGAATTAAAATGACCAAAAAGTCATTGCTCTTACCTTCACTTTCTCATGCTGAGAAGTTAATGAACTATATTTGTTCCATGAATAACTAGGATGAACTTGAAAAAAAAAACCTCCCCATTCTAAATGCCTCCTACACTAACAATTAACCACAATTTATCCTTTTAGTTCTGAAGAATTTTAAGCATCTTATACTGAACTTGATTGACAATCAATTTCTGCTTCCTCTCTTTATTCTCCCAGGAAGAAGATGTGACTCGTGAAAGTCGTTTTAACTTTAGTGGTTACGGGATGGGTCACTGCCTCCAAGTGAAAGATGGAACAGCTGTCAAGGCCACACCTGCCAACCCACTTCCACAACCCCCAAAAGATGCCGATGCCATCAAGAAGAAGTTTGTTGACCGGGCAAAAAGGATTGACACAATATCTCGAGCTGCCTTCCCACTGGCCTTCCTCATATTCAATATCTTTTACTGGATCACCTATAAGATCATTCGTCATGAAGACATCCACAAGAAATAGATGTGCCCAACATATGCTGGGACCTTCTCGCCTAAGTGTTGTGCTTGTAAATACACAGTGAAATTGTCTTTATATCACTTTGACAGAGAAAAAGACTGAGGGAGGGGGGAGGGAGGACTATGGGGTTGGGTTTCCTGGCACCTACATGAAAAAGTTATGTGGGCAATGAAGAAAACTGTTTGCACAAAAGTAAGATGTTGCAGAATCACATATTCATAATCTCCATCTATAGTATGTAGCATTGCTCCTTAAGATGACACATCAATCAGACATGACATGCAGGGTCAAGTTCTCAAGGGCTGACTATCTTTTGGTTTGGTTTTGTTTGGTTTGGACTAATTCTGGTACTGAAAAAGTAAGCTTAACACACACACACACACACACACACACACACACATACATACACACTCACACCCTGAAAATGCTTACTATTTGACCGTAGTAATTAGTCTATAGTGTGTCGAGGACCAAACTTTTTCAGGAAAATGCTGCCTCACTTTTAAAACAAGCCTCCTAAGCTATGTTCCTTACAATGTCCGTAATTAGTGTTTCACCCAAGGAATCCTTTCGTGGGTCGTAAAGTATTTCTACTTATCCAAAAAATGACAAAAAACAACAATGACACAGAACAGATTTGTACTTTACTGTCTATGTAGGTGTGCATTTTAATATTATTTTTCTTTCCTAGATGTAATTTTGGGGTTTAAATTGTGTATTGTGTAATTATTTGATAATATATCCTCGTAAAATAGATGCTCATTTTATTTTAGATCTGAATCAGTGCACTCTGTCTCTCTTTCACTCTCTCTCTCTCTATATATATATATATACATATAAATATAAATATAAATTTTTGCTATGTTTATGTGTGACTTGAAGTGCCCAAGTGTGACTTAACAATTGCAGCCATTGGGCAGTGGCATTTCTGGAGATGGTGTGTCCTGAATGGTGTAGCTCAGATTAGCTTGAACTTCCCATTTCTGCTCTCATTGTAGATGTAACTTCTAGTCCTAATGTTTGACATGATTTCTACTGTCAATCTAAGTGAATATCATTTTAAATATCCTTGATTAACTTAAGGAATTTTAAAATTGTACTGTGATTTTCATATCCTGTTGCCTTTTTGGTACCAGAGCTACGTGGTTTAAATTCTGGCTACATGTTTTACGTATGAATAAAAGACGTATTTTTGCTTACTCAGATAAAATGATATCTGTAAAAACATAAGGAAATAATTAAATTTTACATGTGCTGTAAACGGGTTATTTAAAAAAACATTTGTTCAATTTCAATAAAGCTAAGTGTGCCACAAACTTTTTTTTAAATTTTTATTTATTTATTTTATACTGGGGATTGAACTCAGGACTTTGTGCTTGCCACTAAGATATATCCCTGGCCCCACATACTTCCTTAGATTCTCCATTTTTGTGCTTAAATGTAAATCTTTTAGATGACAATGATAATTTGCATTTTAGGATCTTGTCTTCCTCACAAATTTCCTTGAGACAACTATTCAGCTTCTTTGTTGATGGCTGTAGCAATTACATGAAGAAAAATAGGGCCTGGGGAGATAGCTCAGTAGAATAAGTGCTAGCCTGGCAGGCCCAGGGTCCTGAGTTCAATCACCAGTACCACAAAAAGAGAAAAGAAAAGCTATGTTATTTTCATTATAGAAACATAACAGTAGTAGCAATAGTAGTCATTGTGATCAGAATCTAAAACTGAGTGCTTTATATGAAACACAGGTTATAACAGCACTGAGGAAAAGTAAAATTTTAAGGTGAAAAGAAGTTTACAAGATCAACTGGTCCACAAACCCACTGTAATTTTGCTGACAGTGGAGCTGCAAGATGAAAAAATGTACTGAAAACCCCAGTGAAACAGAGGTGATTTATCTTAACCCTTGTAGATTTTCCTTAGCTAAAAATATACAACATAATATTCTCAGGAGGGTGTGGATTCATAAGTCAATGGTTATGACCTACTAACCCTACAAAAATAGTGAAGTAATGTAAGTAATTTTCATGGAGAAGAAAATTACAGCATGTTTAGAAGTAGGAATTTTGCAAGAAAGAGATTAGCTCTGCCACTTTTCAACAATATGATCTTGGATAAGGTACCAGACTTCTCTATACAGGTCTTGTTTTATAGTTTTAAAAGTACTAGCTGAAAGAAATGAAAGCAAAGCTATCAGCATCATATTCAACATGCAACCAATTCTCAATAACTAATAGATAATAATACAGCAATTATCCTGAGTAGTGCTGGTTATCATCCGAACAAGACCCTTTAGAAGGTCTAGCCTTGGCAAGTTTAATGGCATGCTTTTTGCCTCATTCCGAAAACACTGTTTCTGTCTTCTTGTTCACTCCTGGCCCAATTCTTTTATTCCTGTCTCAGTTCTTTATTCACACTGCAAAACAGTAAAATTGAGGGTAAAATGCCTCCCCAAAGTGGGTCTATCTCTGGATGTGTCCTAGAAAGAACCCTGATACTGCATATGGCAGAGTGGAAAAGCACTTTGGGGAGAAAATCCTAAGGCAAATGGTCATATTTAATCAATATTTGCATTATATAATTGTGAAGGCGGCTCAGTCTCTCCAGAAGAAGATAGAAAAAAAAATCCATCTACTAACTGCTCAAGTCTATCTTCAGTGAAAAGACCTCGTAAATGTCTCAATTTGGGTTATACAAATAAGATAAAATCTAGGGCTGGCCAAAGAGCTCAGGGGATTAAAGAGCCTGCAAGCAGGCACAGGGGGTGGGGGTTCAATCCTCAGGCCCTTGGGGCAGGCTGAGACAGCAATTGAGACTGAGTGTAGTGGCGCACACCTGTAATCCCAGCTCTTGGGAGGCAGTGAACAGGTGGATCACTATGAGTCTGATCTAGTAGTGAGACCCTGAACACCCTGTAGACCCTTCCCTAAATATAGATAGATAGATAGATAGATAGATAGATAGATAGATAGATAGATAAAATCTCATGGAAGATATCTGCACCTGACATATGCTAGAGAAAGAGACAATTCCTCTGAAATATTATTAGATGTGTTATTTATAACAATTTTATTTCACAATAGGAAATTTGAAGAAAAATGATTCAAGAGTAAAATCATGGCTTGAAAAGGAGAACTTACTACTTGTTTTCATTAGTTTTTTAAAATATATTTTGAAGAGAAAAAACAAATGACACAGAATTTTAAAAGAAGATAATAGGAAATGGCTATTATATTACAAACTGTTATCTTCAAAGTAGTTGCTCATATTTTCAGATATAGGCATGCAAAACTGATCAAACAACATAAGCACTATTTCTTTCAATGAACTAATAGAGATTAATAGTAAAATTATCTTAGCTTTTTTTTTTGTAATACTGGGGATTGAACTCTGAACCTTGTGCTTGCCAGCCAGGCACTTATTCTACTGAACTATCTCCCTTCCCCTTATCTTAGCTATCTTGAGTGTGTGTATACATATGTATAATTTTTTCCCTTCTATCTTTTGTCATTTCCCCATCCCAGCTGTTCTTTCTTTTTGAGCAGTTTCTTTCTCTTTCACAACATCTATTATACCTTCAGATCTTATTTATTTTTATGTTTGATAGGTCCTCCACAACATCCACCGAAGCTAAGTGCCCAATGAGTATTATTACTACCACTAGGAAAACACTGGTGAAGGAGCCTATGCTGGGCCTATTAACAAATTAATTTACATAAGTTTACTCCAGTACAGAAATCATACAAGGTAATCACATACTGCCACCATTTTTCAGACAACACATTACTGGGCGCTTTATTTTTAAATGTTTTTCAATTTCTACCATTTGGTTTTAAGAACACATCAAAATTATCTTTTCTTGAGACTATGGCATTCTCAAATACCTTGGCCCTAAAGAGACACTACAAACCAGACCAGCTGTGGATTTTTAAAAATCCTCCCAGTATTAGAATTAAGCTCCTCATCTATGACACTGAGCAGAACTGCCAAATTCTGAAAGCAAAATTTCCAATAAAGATTAAATGAATATCATTTTACATTTCACTTACTCCATTAATATCAAGTAACAGGGTTTTAAGAAAAACACAGCATGAAATTCCATATCATACGACTCACAGCTTTGAGAAAGATAAAGGTCTACAGAGAATTTTCTTTTTTATTTAGGATTATATACTTCTTAGTCTAAACCTGAAGCAAATTTGTTTGATGAATCTAAATCATATGTTTGCCAGATTTATTCCTTTTAAATATTTCGACCTCAGTTTTAAACTTTTTCTTACTTTCATCAATTTGGGTTTCATTTTGTAAAGGAATAATTTGAATCAGCATATATTCTTTATACATCACAAAATACGAGGACTAAAGATTGTATGATAACCTCATACTGTTTTCAGAATATCAACATGTTTAATGTCTACAGTAGTGTTTGATTCTAAAGTTGCCAGATCACAAAAAAGTCCATTTTATTTTTTTTATTTTTTTTTAAAAATTTTTATTTATGTGTGTGTGCGTGTGTGTGTGTGTGGCCAGCTCAGCCCACCAGGGGGCGGGGCTGGCTGGCATGTGGTGCTGGGGGATTGAACCGCGGTCCCTTTGCTTTGCTAAGCTTATTCTAAGTAGGTGCTTTAGACCACTGAGCCATCTCACCAGCAAAAAAGTCCATTTTAAACCATTTATTGGTCAATAAATAGGCAGAAGCCTTAGGAATTAAATGCCTTTTTAAACTCATCTACCATATTAGAAGTTAAATATTCAGCAAAATTTGTTTCTAAACCTCTTAGACTATGTACTTTCACAATGTCTACACTGTGTAGGTGAACAGAAAAGCCTGGAAAGCAAAAAGTCAGGGAAACACTGACTCACCTCATTTCAAAACAAATTAGGGAAGATATCACACAGTAGAATATTTATATTTGACATGTCTAAAAGAAATAGCTCAAAATGTTGAATATAATATTAACAATTTCAAAGAGATTCAATATCTTGTGTGACTGTGTTGTGCAAAAGATAATGGGATTGAAAAAACGACATAAAGTTCAATTTCACAAGTGTTTATTTCAATTTTGAAGGAGTGAAAATGACCTTCACTTTGTCTCACATGTTCCAACATGAGCCAGGA